TTTAATTAAGTATTATTATTATTATTATTATTACTATTATGTATATTTATTATTATTTATTAATTATATTTATATATTATATTAATATTATTATATTTTATTAATTATATATATATATATATATAATATTATTGAATTAATTTCGAATAATTTAATATACAATTTTTAATTATACACAAATTACAAAACGTATTAAAAATCCCACCTTCCCTCCCCCAAAAAAAAGAAAACACATTCACATTATTTTGTATGATATTACAAATATTAATTATTTTTATTATCCACTAGTAGTAGTAGTAATAATAATAATAATAATAATAATAATAATAAAAACACACACACAATTATTTAATTAAATTCATATAGACAAAATACGTGACATTATAAATAAAAAACTTCGCATAAACTTTGTTTACGATCTTAATATTGTATATATATATATATATATATATATATGCATCGTTAACACGCTATAAAACACTTTTACCATTTCGTTTGAGTTGGTTAAGTGTTTTTTTTTTTTTTTAATAATAAAACTACCTTTTTATTATTCAATTATACTCATTAATGAAAATCTGAATTCTTCATTATTGCAAATTGTTAAATGAAAATAATATTATTGCTGTCTCTATTTCTCATTTTAATTGATTATTTTCTAACGAATGAATTATTATTACATCATAATAAGATTACATTTATTATTTAATTTTTATAAAACACATGTTTTTTTTTTTGTTTTTTTATTGAAAAATATCTTTCGTTAATTTAATAATTAACAGTATAACAACACACAATCACTATCACCACCAATATCATCATCAACTTCACAACCTTCATTAGGATGAACAGATGATTTTTATGGATAGTAAGATTACACCTTTATTTATGCACAAACAACATTAAATGAACATTTGTTATACGATACTATTATATTATTATTTCTTCTCATAATTATTTAAATGTTTTATTATATTCATCATATTAATTAATATTTAATTATATTTGTTTTTTTTTTTAATATTTTCATTAATTTCTATTGACAATATTTCGTTAAAATTTTAATAATATTATATTATATTATTATTATTATTATTAATTATATTAATAATAATAATATATTATATTAATTGTTAATATAATTAATAATAATAATATAATATAATATTATTAAAATTTTTTTTATTTTATATTTTTAAATTATTTTATATAATATATATATATATATAAAAATTATTAATTATATTAATAATAATAATAATAATAATATAATAAATATATATTGTGTGTGTGCATAATACAATTATTTCAAAGTATATTTTTTTTTATCGTCACCTTAAAATTGTGTTTTTTATAATTTATTTTTTTTTTCACTTTTCTTTTCACTCGTGTTAATCGTTGATTAAAAAAAAAAATATATATGAGAGAGAAGGAGAATATATTATTATATTTAACAAAGAAAATCTATATAACAAACTAGTAAACTAAAAAAAGACAGAGAAAGAGAGAGAGAGAGAGAGATAGAGAGAGAGAGAGAGGAGTAGAGAAAATAGAAAAATCAAAAGAGATGAAATAAAATTGGAAAGTAAAACGAAACAACAAAAATACAATGAAAAATGTTAGATGGAGGACTAGTACCTTGGCAAAGTGTCCTACCTGATGCGCGTTTATCTCGCGACTGACACCTCTCTCTCTTTCTCTCTCTCTCTTTCTCTCTCTCTTCTCTTTCTCTCTTCTCTCTCTCTCTCTCTCTTCTCTCTTCTCTCTTTCTTTCTCTCTCTTTCGTATCCTAGTGTAATAGTGTATATGACGACGGTGTTGTCTACGATGGCGAACTTCGTAGTGTCAGCAGTTACCACCGCTCCCGCAACCCGAACCGAACTAAATTAAAAATAAGTCTTTGTTTCATGAGCATAGAAAATGCTAGATAGATACCTAGCTAGCTAGCTAGTTAACTTAGCTACCTATTTATCTACCTAGACAAATTTAACACCTCCTCTTTTTACTTTACATTGTATATTTTTCTATCTTTTTGTTTTTTTCTCTGTAAAACTTATAAATTGTAAGATTTTGCAAAGGATTTTTATTTGTTCTTTGCTAAATTAAACTGATCGAGATTTATAAATACATGTGTGTGCGAGTTTGCGTGTGTGCGAGTGTGCGTGTGTGTGCGTTTACCAAAGAATTAATAAAAATTATGTTTAACTAGTTAGAATTAATGTTAGGTATATTGTTGTAACAAAACTATGTTAAACATTTAATTTATAAGAAAGAATTGTAAGAGAAACTGTATGTGTACGAGATTTAAGTGAATAAAATGTATTTAAATTAAATAAAATAATTTGTTCAAATTATTTCTATCCTGTACTACCAATTCCTGAATAAAAAATCCTAATATGCATACGAAAAAATAATTTCAGAGTTGTATCATCTCAAGGTAAGTGATCTTATTAATTTTTATTAATTCTGCACTTTAAATACAAGTTTTAAGACACAGTTTGTAAGATCTGTTCGTGGCTCGGTGCTAGAGTCTCGGATTCGTATCCGCAATACCGCGGGTTCGAATCCCGGCAGTCTCGAAAAATAAAATTTATTTTATTTAAATTTTCCGCGTGATGACGTCACGATGACGTAGTGATAGAAGAACAAATCTATCACTCATATAAAATTTTAAA